TTTTCGCAAAAAGGCGCAATTACAAATTTGCTAATATTTGTTATTTATTAACTCAATACAGTTTTATCTTTTAGATTTAGTCAAAAAATTATTTTTTTTGTGCACGGATACTGATTTTGGTGTGTTTTAACAATTGAATTGTGTATTTTTATCGGTTTAATATTAATTTGAGAAACATTTGCGCAATTATCGCAGGGCCTACAAATTTAGTATCACCATCTTTTTATTCTACCGGGCCTGCGCTTTCAGAAAATATATGGTTTGGGGGGTCTTTTACAAACGCTAGCAACGCAGCAGTTGAAAATCAAACCAAAAGGAAAAAATTGCAGAAAATTCAAAAATGGCTTGGCCAGCTGATTTGAAAAATGTTCCGGAGGGCTTGGCAGCGAAAGGGTTAAGTCAGTGGTGGGCAACTCGGGCCCGCCAGCTGTTATAGAACTACAAGTCCCATTGGGCATTGCTAAACTGACATTTACAGGCATGACTCCCAGAGGCATGTTGGGATTTGTAGTTAAAGCACAACTGGAGGGGCAGAGTTGCCCACCTCTGCTTTAAGTAGTGCTGTTGAATACCTGTCAACAACAGCGCACAGCCATTGTCTTTTATGTGAGGCTTTATGCTGCACCTGGTGCTATCTGGCAGTGGAAACACACTGACATTTACAGTGAACGGGGCAAGGGGCCTGTGTGCAAGAGCCCCAAAGTTTTTGTTTGTTTAGACACAATGAATTGGGGCTCATTCACATGGATGTGTACAGAGCTGTATAGTGTGCATGTCTGTGCAGAAACATACACTTGGGCGTGACCGCTGTTGCATGCAGCCGCCTGTACAACTAAATGACAGGATGCGGCTGCACACTGTTAGACGCAGAACCGTACAGGTACAGATTTGTGCCCCTGGAGGCAGATAGTCTAAGCTGAAGTATTCATATCACTTGTATCAATCAGAAGTTATAAAACTAAAAAATAAGTGAATATAGATTACATAAATTTTTATATGTGGGCTCTGTATGTCTACTCACCTGTTCCTCTGCCGAAATATCCAGAAGAGGGCCATAAAGACCACTATGACATGGGATTGCAAACAAAAATGGAACTCCCCTAGGGGCTCTCCTTGTGGCAACAGGAAGGTGTCCGCACAGCAGCCCGCAAACAGCAGCACGACACCTGTACTTGGACACAAGAAGATTGACTACCGTTTCTTATGATGAGCCTGGACATGTAGTAATAACTGTACTAACTGTTTACCACTGCAAATCCCAATGCCAGCACATTTTATTTTGGTATATTCATGATATGACTTCTATATGGTTTTCCCTGATTTGAGTGTTATGCGAAAATAACCCCTTCCACCTGCTGACAACTCTTAGGATTCTGCAGTCATCTTCTTGCGTTGTCATGGTGTGGCGTATTGTGCATGTGTTGGCATGGTTGACACAAAAAAAAGCTTTTTTAAGCTGTTATCCTTTAAAGGCAATTTGTACTGAAAACAAAGTCTGTCAGTGCTAAAAATGCCAGTTACCTGGCTGTCATGCTGATCCAATTCAGGTGTGTCAGTTTGATATGCAGATCAAGAGCTTTGGCTTCACCTGGTGCATAGTTCAGCTCAGCATTAGCAGCCTTCATATTTCTGCCAGCACAGGTTTCCTTGAATGTGAGAATAGTCTTTAGAACAGCTGACATCTAGTGGCAACAGAACAGAATGCAAGATTCCTTACAAATTATTATTGCTTCATGTGTGAAGACTATAACTTGACTGGTTGTCCAATGTTTAATGAATTTTTGCACTAAGACCGGGAGCTTTCTTCTTAGATCCTTGCACAGGACAAAAGTTTTACTTTTTGTCCAAAGAAGCCAAATATGTATTTGAAGGAGTTACTTAGCAATAAGGGGTCCACTTATAAAGCTGTGGTGTGGCCATATTGCTGCATTCTAAATGTGTGCAGCTTTTTTTTTGTTTGTTTTACAGCACAATGCTGCGCTATTACATTAAGCAAAATAAAAGAAAGCTATGAGGAAAGGCTAGCCGTATTACTGGAGTCTTCTATCACAGAGCTCTTTGCATTTTTTTGCTTTTCCATTTTCTATTAAACCGTATCGTATGCTCATGTGCCCTGCAGCTGAATAGGCTGTGACTGAGTTCTCTCCGTTAACTTATTATGGGGCTACAACGCACATACACCAAGTCAAGGAGCACATCTCTGCGCTTGTGTTTCT